ATATTGTATTTATATACAATTTTAATTATTTATATTTTCACTTTTAATAGTTGAAATTTATTTATATTATTAAAGTTAATTATCTTGTTCATCTAAAATATATGTAAATCTAAACTATTAAAAATAAAAAATAAATGATCAAAACTTAATATAAATATAATATATAAAATTTATGTATATATAAAAAATTCTTAATACACAATTATAACCATCGAAGAAGATGACCCCCCAATGTGAGGCCTTTCTTCTCTAAAATTAATGACCAATTTGTTACGGTTTGAACTACAAATAACATTTCCTTTTAATTTTTCAGTTACAACCTCTCTTCTTTTTTTACCACAAAAAATAAAAAATAAAAACTCTCTATGTGGGGGAAGGGTGGGAGAGGGCCCTCGTAAGCACCCTCAAAGGCCGGTAGTGATCCGCTGCTCCAAGGGTGGAGTTTTACTAACGGCTCTCAAGTCCAGTATGTTAAAGTTAGTAGGCCGTTGTTGTTTGACGAATGAATTCGGATTATGGGCCTATCCATGAATTTGGATTTAAGGAGGACATATCGAACAATGATGTGAAGATGATTCATTTATAAGACAATCATATACAACCTCCGGTGCTAAAACGATTTATAGTTAGTGTTGTGACACATCAATCTCACTCTTTGTTTTTTTTCTTCTTGTTTAAAAAGTCAGTCTGACTAAAAGGGGTAGGGTGATAATGTAACAAGGGAGTGACTGATGCTTTTTGGGCCTCCATTTTCTCGGTAGGTCCAATTATGGCAAACTCATTGTATGGAGCAACAATACTGGTATTCGTTTTGAGATTTTACACCACCATGGTCGTTATCAGCATCATTTTCTTGGTAGAAGACTGACTTAATTTGTCTTCGACGTCCGCGATAAAAACCCTGGCGTATGCCTGATGAGTACAAGAAGAAATTTGGAAGCCACAAATACATTACATGGCAGAGAAACGGCCACGTTTACGGTGGAAATAAACATGTCCGATGGAGATGTGAATTTGCTGTTGTGTGGTATTAATTGTATGTGAGTGTAAAATAAAAATTATATATTAAATAAGAAAATAATTTTTAATACTATGAGACTTATTTTTTTATTTAATTATTTAAATGATATATTTCAATATAATTCACACTACACAACCACTATTAGGTAGAAATTGCTTCCATCACTTGGTGAAGTACCAAGTCAAAAACTAGCCCAATAAAAGGGAAAATTAAAGGATGAGTGAGTTAAGCATTTCTGCTAGGAGAAAGGGTATAAAAAAAAAAAATGTAATGGAGTAGGTAAAGCCTTCCCTGTACTTTTTGTTTTTTTTTTAGTCAGCCTTCCCTGTATTTTTGGTAATCTCACTTTGAGAACTACTCAAGCCTCTACAATACAAATAAGCATGACTTTATATATGAAGAAAATGTAATAAAAGGAAGACAGAAGGACAAGCATGTCTTCTATGTTTTCACTTAATTTCCCTCTGATTTTCCTCTTCCAATTAATCTCTCATTGAACTTATCTTCTTGGATCTCCATCAACTCTTTTTCTCCTAATCCTCTCCTGACGTTTGGAATCGTAACAATGGCTTCCTTTATCTCTGCTGTTGCAAAAAGGTTTTTTCTTTTTTTTCCTTTTTTTTTTGGATGGATTTGGGATGGCAGGCCGAGAGACTGAAAGGTGTATTGTTTGTCAATATTGTACAGGTTAGAGGGGAAGGTTGCCCTCATCACTGGAGGTGCCAGCGGTATTGGCGCATGCACTGCCAGAGTCTTTGCCCACCATGGCGCCAAAGTTGTTGTAGCTGACATCCAGAAACAATTAGGCCACTCTGTCTGTGAGTCAATCGGCCCATCAAACTCCATCTTCGTCCACTGCGATGTCACCAATGAATCCCAAATCCAACACGCTGTGGACAAAGCTGTCGCCACCTATGGCAATCTAGACATTATGTTCAACAACGCTGCCATTATGGACAAGATGAAGCCACGCATAATCGATAACGAAAAATCCGATTTCGAGCGCATCCTTAGCGTGAACGTAACTGGAGTCTTCCTCGGTATCAAGCACGCCGCTCGAATCATGGTGCCTGCTCGAAGGGGCTGCATAATCTCCACTGCCAGCGTAAGTTCAACTATAGGTAAAATAGCCACCCACGCTTATACTGCTTCAAAGCATGCTGTTGTGGGACTCACAAAAAATGCTGCAGTTGAACTCGGACAATTTGGAATTAGAGTTAACTGCATATCTCCCTTTGCGGTTGCAACGCCCATGTCTACCTCATTCATTGGAATTAAGCACGAGGAGGTCGAGAAGATGACGAACTCGATTGCCAATCTTAAGGGTGTGACCCTTAAGGCAGAAGATGTTGCAAATGCTGCCCTTTATTTGGCAAGTGATGAGGCAAGGTACATAAGTGGGCACAATCTCTTGATAGATGGGGGTTACACTATTTTTAATCCCTCATTTACAATGTTCCAATATCCGGCCGATTCTTGAGCTTATTTCTAGTTGCTGATGTTGGTATGATGAAAACAGGGGAACTGGCTTCTAATTTTTGGTAGTATTTGAGTTTGTTCAATACTTCACACTTAAATTTTTGATATAATAAGAAATGGATGACCTCAATTAGAGTAAAAATATTTGTAACTAAGAAGTGAATTTGGGAATGCAAGACGATACAAACTTAAAATATTTCAGTTACCATTTGAGTGTGTTCAGTAACTCATACTTGCAGTACCAGTGAACAAAATGCACTTTTTCTTGGCCGGTGATCACCCCGGCACGTGTTTGGCGCCCAAAAACACTCCCAATACATTGACCTTGAAAACATTTTTGAATGTTTGGCGCCTAGGGTTCTGTTTCCGAGCTGTCTATTCCAGCATTGGCGAACATAATATCGAGCTTTACGTACAAGGAGACCGCCAAGTCCAAATTGTTTTTAATGTCGAACTCAGACGTTACATTTTCTTCTTTTTTATCAGCGAATTCAGATGTTATATGACAATGCACATAGCTAATGGTTTCTGATTCTGGGGTTCCGAGATCTTGATAGAGAGGTGGCCCAATTCCCCGATTCGACTTGGACATCAGCGATGAGGACCTTAGCACCGTCTGCTCCATCTAATGCCACCGGCTCTGCCATCAGTGCTACCTTCGCCCCTCTAGCCTGTGTGTGTTAGGTAGAGGCAAGATAAATAATTTAATCATGTATTAAGGGTATTTTGATACGTTTACTTTTATAACTGGAACTATATTTTTTTTAT